TAATCCGTAAAAGTGTTATAATTTTCCCGCAAATGGTATTTGCCGAAATAATAATCCGAAAAACAGAAAGAAACAGAAACCAAAATAAACATAAACATGCAAAACCGAGAGGGAAAAAAAAAAAAAAAAAGAACAAGAACAAGAAAAAGAATCACTCGATGGATCAGTCAGTCTTCAAATCATTAAGAAGCTGGGACCAAATTAAATACAAGCAAACAAACAAACAATTACAAGAACAGGAGGTTCAAAGAGTCACCTGGTTTTCAGTGAAGTCGATTCCAGCGAAAAAGATGATATGTCCTGCTCCAATGCAGGATGTCAGACTAACCCGTATGTGACACAAAGGTAAGTTTCTGTCTCTGCAAACGAGCCAATAAATAGTAACTAATTGAAATCGATTTAGCAGTCAGACTAAAAGGATCAATGAATTGTAAAGGAAACCATCAAAAAGACAACTGCAAATGATCCACCAAACGAACGAATAATATAATTATGCTGACATAATACACTTTTTATAGGAATTAATTTGTGAATAACGAATGAATAAAAGAATACTGACCAGAAAGTTTCCATTGAAATATCATTTTTTAAGAAAGATCATCTCAAAACGTTTGATTTCTTTTCCAAATACGGTCGATCTGTGCTGACATCGATCCAAAACTGATTTGACGACTTATTTTCCATCCTTTTAGATATAGTTAATTTCTCACAATACAGTTCAAGGGATATCAGTGTTAATTAAATGTACTTACGTGAGCTGAAGATAGCTGATAATTGTTAGTGCGACTCCGGTGAGAGATGAAGCCATCCCTACTCGAGTAAGGAGTGTCAATATTTTGTCATGCTCATCTGACGAACGAGTTTTATCCTGATTGAAAAACTGTAAAGGTCATAATTATTTTATCTGTATCAAAGGAAGTGTTTATATTAACAAATAAAAATAAATGCGATACTTTTATGCTTCTATGTACCTTTTTAGGTCCATATAATTTTATTTTGTAGAACAAAAAATAGTCACCTTCCCGTCATCAGCATTGTTGGTGAAATCCATGAGTACAGCGAAGTGGGTGAGATGATTGCAAACACATTCCGTGTAATGATCTGATATCATCTTTGTTTGACATCCTTCACTTGACCAACCCCCAAAGCTTTAAAAACGAATAAGACAAGGAGAAAGGAGTCAAAATAACTTTTTCAATTAGAAACCTCCTTCTCCCTCCACCTGAAAATAATCCAGTTCACTCTACTCATATCTCCAAAGTGATTTCTAATACTTTGAGCTTCGTTTACGATGAAATAATAAAATTTATGCCACTGTAGTGCTTACTTTTCTTCAGAGAAGCTCCAGAATACACATGTTCTTTTTTTACGATTCACCTAAAGGAAAGATAGAGTCAAGTGTTGTGATTGAAAGGGTAATATAGTGAGGCTTCAGCGCTCGCCCCAGTGATGCATTACTAGTAGCTGACTAGTAAGGCGTCATCAGTTATAGAATATTAGTGTTACCCTCCAAGTCAAATGGTAATTCTCAACATGAAGGTCCCTGGGGCAACCCCACAAATGAGGTCTAAATTTGTTTTCAACAAAAGTTAATTTGAGTATTAAAGAATATGGTTAGGAAATGACATTTTTTTTTTCTCTTACTTTTTGTATTTCAATTAAGGAGTCGAAATGCGATGAAATGTGATTGGTTTGGGGCTCATACAATGTAACGCGAACTTAATCCTAACTTACATCGACTGTAATGGGAACCCGTAGCCACGGAAAGGAACAAATAAAGAAAAACAAAAACAAACAAGCAAACAAACAAAGGAAAATGATAAAAAAAGAAAAAAATACCTTCGTGTTTTGAAAAACCAAGGTGACGTTCTCTGTTAGCACTTCTAGCAAAGGATCTACTACAGCGGATATAATTTTACTGTCCAGTATCCTGAAATAAACCAAACTCAGCAATCACAAACTAGCCTCTTTTTTTTTGCCTTTTTTTTTTTTCTGTCTGTGGCTTATATTTTAAAATTTACAAACCAGGTTTTGTTGGTTCCTCCAGAGCCTGCTGAGTAGTTTGAAAAAAGCTCCTGAAGGCTGTTGTATTCAATCCCGAGTACTACGGATCCTATTTTTAAGAGGAAGGAGAACTGAATTTAAAAAAAAAAATGAAATCAACCACTTACGAGCTGTTGGTCCTACTATGCGAAAAAGAGCAGATAAAAATGAAGTCCAATGAATTTCCAGGTTCGCCGAGAAGTGAAGAACTAAACCAAAATGAATACACCTACCATTCGGATGTAGATTAGCTGAGGGAATCTTGATAAAGTTCTCCCCATTGCTTCCATTGAAGAGAAAATCCCTTCCTTTTCGGTGAACATTACGTCTGACTTGAAACGCTATAGTAAAATAATAATGATGATGAAAATAGTCACATCATCAACGATGACGATAACAATAACGATAACAGATACGATAACGGTAACAACAACGGCAAAGATAATGGTAATGATAACAATGTTTTTTAGCAAAATATAACGAGTTTTTCTTCAACTTACCCAGTTCTTTGCTGGTAGCATTAGCTTCGGGATTTGTGATTTTTAATCTGCGTTTGGAAAATCTGATTATAAACTCCTCAAGGGCAAAGGAGGAAAACATAGCTTCTTCCCCTTCTTCATCTGCGAGAATATCCCTTTGTTTATGGCGGAACCGAATTTTTTTAATTGCAGTTGCAAATAATGGTAAAGCAACCTGGGTTAAAATAGGCAAAGTCAAACATGTCAGGAATTAACTCCTGCAGACGAAGAAAACAAACTAGCAAAACAAAACAAGCAAACGAACAACAACAACAAAAATTGAAACAGAAACACAGCAATTATGGGAAATTATTACGCGGTGGCTATATTCAGTAATTTTTGCATAACTGCCTTCAACGGCCCTTTGAAATGAACATTTAGAGTCTCTGTGATAGGTTGCTAAATGTATCCCATTTATTCAATCTCTAAGTGCTTAATGAACAATCTATTAAACAGAAAAAGAACAGCAAATACAAAGATTACAAAATCAACAACAGCAACACATGAAACAAATTAATTACTAAAGTAAAGGGTAAGACAAACATAATAATTGAAGTCTAAATCTTGGTATGAAGCATTACCTGCAAAGCATTTTCTTTATTGACTTCAATGTTAGAAAGGTTGATCAAATCATTCATCTAAAAGATAAGATAAGGTGTAATGTCAAGTGTTATAAACAGCTATGAAGCCCGAGCCCTGCGTTCTACCATCCTGACATGCACAGCCATGCAAAACATTTAAAGTTGGAAAACATTAAGTTGATATCTTACCCAACTTGGAATTGGCTGTACCACATGAAAGCGAAATAGAAAGGAAAGAAAAGAAAAAGGAAACAAACAGACAATATAGCAAATATTCAGATAAGCAAAATATACAAAAAAACAAAACAAAACAAAACAAAAAACGAACAAAACAGAAAAACAGTAATAAACATAAACCCTCCAACATAACAAAGAACACTCTGTTACAATACAAAAAAACAGTAATAAACATAAACCCTCCAACATAACAAAGAACACTCTGTTACTTTACAAAAAAAAGTTATTATATTAATAATTGCAGCTTCACCTTGAAATTAATGCTTTTAAGGCTCAGGCTCAGGATCGTTTAGAATGTAAAGTAATAATAAGAGAATAATTTAACTGTTTTAAACATGTTTTCAACTGGCTACTGCATATACATTCCATCTGAGCAGAAGACAATTATAATTTGTTTAGAAATTAAAAAAAAAACAAAAAAAAGTTAGGAAAAAAAATCTCACCTTAACTTCATCATTCCTTGTGACCACTAATGTCGATAAGGTAAAACAAAGCAGAACATTTCAAATCATCCGGCAGGAATGTTGGACGTTACACCTAATGCTACGCTTAATGTGCTATGCCAATAAACATTTCTGTGGAAAAGGGGAACTTCAAATGGGTTTTAGCAACATGTACTCCTCTTAGCTGGCGAGCTATTATTATTTGCTATTAAAACTCTACCGTCTGGTGTTGCACTTATACGTCTCTTTTGAATTTTCCAATAACGTGAATTGAAATTGTGGATTCAGCTTAAAATATAAGAAGTGCCGCTTCTCGATGAATCATGACTTTCTGTTTCCTAAAA